GTGTTCGTGTTATAATTTGACATGGCAATACTCCTTCAAGAAACTATGATGTTTCAGTCACTTCCAGGCAGCAACTTTCCTCAGTGTAAAACTCATTTCTTTCAACTGTCACCTGCTTTCATCTACTAATGTTCTGATATCTAATGTTTCACTAAGAATGCCAAATTGTCCCATGAAACAAAATTTTGAAGAAATTCTTTTTATGAATATTTCAAAATATTTATTTTCATTTCAGAAAACGATCAAACTAGATCAAACACGGATATTAAGATGCTGATGTTTCCTGAAAAATGGATGTTCCAAAACATGATTCTAACTTTAATCCTCAGATCCTTGGGAAGACTCTGTAATTCCTTGTAGCATATTTTCAGAAGCAAGACCTAAAATAGAGCTGCTAGGCACAAGAGTACACTGTGGTGCTTCTTAATAGCCACTAACTACTTCAAGCTAGTGTTGTGGGTGGCAGTCAGCTGCCGCACCAAATTGTGGCCATGGTGGCCAGGCTCCTCCGGCATTGTTACCTGGAGTCAATACAGAATATTTGAAATATCTGACACTTGCAGCTCCCACATCTAGAAAATCAGAACGATGTGATCTAATTTCCACGTAAGGCAAAGGAAGCATTGGATCCACAGCAAATGATCTAATGACTGATTCATGAATTCGTACTAGAAAAGTCCTGCAGTTCAGGTGCAAAACTAACACGATGGTTTCCCTCCTCAGTCAGATACGGTTGTAATGCAAATAATTGAAAGCCTCAATGACCTAAGATCACTCGAAGAACTAGCACCATTTATAGTAGGCCTGTGTCAAGACAGGTGATTGAAGAGCATATCACCCAAAGATGTTTCCTCCAAGATTGATTTCATCCTTGGTCTCCTCTATCAGAATATATGCTCACATCCCTTCTGCATTTGCTGTTTGTCACAACTCCACCCTATGGGAATCACATTTTCCCTTGCTTCTTCCTGCCATGTACCTGAGCAACTGTCACTTTAGATTATTCTCTGCCCTTAGTTTGCTCTTCTGTTCACTTGCTTAGTCTCTTGTCTCCTTGCATCATAAATACTGTATAATCCACAAATTTGCTTTCCAGTTATACTGGTGGCTCCATCCTGCATCTTCTTAGTGGACTACCAGACCTCTTCAATGTCTCAGTTTGAATGGATCAATTCTGTTTTACTTTTTATTTTTACTTCTGTCGGGATTAGGTGGCCAAAAGAGGACCAAAATGCCTTCTTCACCTGCTTCTATTGTGAAATTATGTTACACATCCAGACCAGCTCTTCTCTTGTTTATCATCTTGAGGTTATACACCCTAGACTTCAGTGATATATATTGCCATCCACGTTTCTGAATGATCTTAAAGGACATGGGGCACAGTACGTTCATACCTCCCAGGAGCAGATGGCCTGATTGCTTTCCTCAAGCCACAGGCCAAAAGAAAGAAAATTCCTTGGCCTGAGATACAACCTGAATTGGGATTTTTGTTTGTGTTGTAAGGACAAGTGCAGGGTCCTGCACCTGGGCAGGAATAACCCCAGGCACCAGCACAGATTAAGGGTTGACCTGCTGGAAAGCAGCTCCACAGAGACGGATTTGGGGGTCCTGGTTGACACCAAGTTGCCCATGAGGCAGCAACGTGCCCTCGTGGCCAGGAAGGCCCATTGGCTCCTGGCTGCAGCAGGAGGAGCGTTGGCAGCGGGCGAGGGAGGGGATCCTGCCCCTCTGCTCAGCTCTGGGGAGGCACCTGGAGCACTGGGGGCAGCTCTGGGCTCCCCAGGACAAGAGGGACGTGGAGCTGCTAGAGAGGGGCCAGCGCAGGGCCACGAAGATGGTGAAGGGACTGGAGCAGCCATCGTGTGAGGAAAGACTGAGCGAGCGGGGCCTGTTTAGCGTGGAGAAGAGAAGACTGAGAGAGGATCTGATCAACATGTACAAGTACCTGAGGGTAGAATGTAAAGAGAACGGGACCAAATTCTACTCGGTGGTGACAGGACAAGGGGTAATGGGTGCAAGCTGAACCCCAGGCAGTTCCACCTCCATGTGAGGAAGAACTTCTTTGCTGTGAGGGTGCCAGAGCCCTGGCACAGGCTGCCCAGAGAGGCTGTGGAGGCTCCTTCTCTGGAGATCTTCAAACCTGCCTGGCTGCCACCCTGTGCCCCTGCTCTGGGTGTCCCTGCTGGAGCAGGGGCTGGACTGGATGATCCCTAGAGGCCCCTTCCAACCTCAGCCCTTCTGTGATTCTGTGACTTCCATTGCCTTTTGCGGACTTCAACTGTTAAACATAAACTCTATGTAAATTTTAATAAAATCTTGTACTTGCAAAAGCAACTAACAATTAAACCAACATTTAAAAGCTTTCTATTTTTAAGAAAGGCATAATTTGTATTGATGCTCTTAAATGCTAGGAATGTGTGTGCATTAATGTGTGAGTGCATGTGGAATTCTTAGCTAAACAGCATTCACCCAGTCTTACAGCTGTCAAAATACTACTTTTTTTTTTTCCAATTTGAAGTGATTTGATGGAAAAGCAGAAATATTTCTTAAACAATGTACTTGTTTAGTGTGACAACCTCTGACTTAGCGTCTGTGAAATTGAAAGCCAAGGAAATCTGCATATGCAAGGATACAATTTTCCTCATGTTTTTTATAAAGCTGCAGATGAGAAAGGATTTCTCTCTAGTTACGATGGTAGCTTGATGTTCAGCTCTATGTATCACTTGCTAATTCCATTAAGAAGAAAAGAAAGCCTGGTTCAAAAAGACAGAGCAAAGTTACATGATAGTTTATATCCCAGAGCTAAGCTGTCGGACTTTATTATTTTTCACCAGTTTAGGAAATGGCTGACATGGTAGTAGATATAAAACTAAAGGGACAATGTCAAGTGGTTTAGACTCAAAATTTGACCTACTTTGAAAATGTTATAATCTGGAGAAGGAATCTCTTCCAAACTCCTAACATATTATTCCCAAAATCGAAAAGAAATAGTCATTGTTCATATCCAAATTCAGTGCCATAGCCATTCTGCCTCTTGGGGCCTATTCAGGGACAGTTAGGGTCAGCGAAGACGACTGACTGAATTCAGTGGGTCCTGGATCAGTGGAGCGCTGTCAATTCTCAATATTTTCTTTGATGGGCACGGTTTGTTCTCCCATTTGAAGGGGTTATAACTCAATGATGCAGAGTGTCTTGTTTTGGTAAAAAAAATTAAGATACTCTTATTTTCTTCATACATAAACATTATATTCATACATGTTTTGGTCAAAATGCATGGTCAAAAACTCTTTTTATCCTTGAATTGGAAGATTTGCATCAGTTCTTGGGTCTTCTTTACAGACTCGGCCCAGCCAAAGGAAGATCACGTTCCGACACATCCAAGCACTTGAGGTAAACCTGGGAATCTGAGACAGCCTGGAAAAGAGCTTAGAGTGTGGACTAGACTTGAACTCACAAGGGAAACCAGTGGGGAGAGAATCCATCTGAGAATGTTCTGTTTGAGTTTGCCAGCAGGTGAGAATGTGCTAGCAAGGAATCCAGGAATATGGCTCAGACCAACCACTTGTGGATGTGCATTTTTCACCAGGGGAGACTACCATGGCTGAAAGCTACTCAATGTCTTTCCATCAGCTTCACCGTGTGGCTGGTGTTCAGCTTCTGAGACTTGATCTAATCAGTGATTATACAGGGAGTTCTGTCTGGCTTGGAAGATCATATTATTGAATAGCTCTATCAAATTTGTCAGTGTCTTTACTGACAATTTTCATGAATATATAACAGTGAAATATGACTCATCTATACTGGCTTATTCTTTATAGTGCTCAAAATGGCTTGGAAAAAATCTCTGTAATTCAATAATGAAAAAGGATAAAATCAGTACGGGGTATAATTGCTGCTATCCAGATCTTAAGGAGGGATTATAAGTATTGAAGAATAAGAATAAATAGGCAAATGAATAAACAAGATGAAAACTCCCTGATTGCCTAGATTCCGAAGGCACTACATGATGCAAAAATGCCAGCAAAACTGCAAAGCAGTGATGACATGAGCTCAGCCCAGGTTATACAGTCACACTAACTGCCCTCAAGACCCCCCAGATCCTCCTTGAATTGTATCGGGAGCCTCTAGGAATTTGTTTTCAAAGCATAACGCCTTTCCATACTAAACAGAGGTCTGCTAGGTAAGTCAGATGATTCAGGATTTTACATTCCTCCCGTGGGTCTAGGGGCCTTAGTTGCCTTGGGGCTGGGTAGCGTCAGGACCTTTGTGATCAAGAAAGCAAAGGCTTTTCTTCTTGGCCAGCAATTTGAGCCCCACACGCTTATTCCTGAATCAAACCTCCTAGATAAATGTAATGGTGTAAAGAAGAAAAAAAAATCCTGAAAGAAAATTCAGTAAAGAAAACCTCACCAGCATTTACATGTTTTTAATTTCAAATGCCATATAGGACTATTGAGCCATTATATTTTGCTGTAGCTTCTAAATAAATTAAAGCCATTTATCACCTTAAAAAAGCCATTTTAAGAACCTTATTAACTTTATAGTCAAACACAGACAGGTAATATTATCTATTATGGCAACGTTTCATAGTGCCACAGCTGTGCTGCACTGTGCTTTGCATTTGCACTTTCTTATGTCTGTGTATTCTCTCAAAAAGAGACAGCCCTTTTATGCACTGTAATTCAATAACTTTAATGTCTCCTAATTCTGGCAATTAGTTTACAACATTTATCCTTCCCACTATCAAAACAAGTGTTTTATGTCCAGAATATTGCACATTGCAGAATATTGCGACACTGCAGATTGATAAAAATAGAGAGGCCCATTTGCTAAGAAGGATTGTTTCTAGCTAAAGAGACAGCAATGAGAACACAACGTGCTTGTCTATAGTTAAAATATACCAAAAATATACTAGAAAGTGAGGACATCTCATCTTAGGAGGCAGAAAGTGACTTCCACAGTTCATGCGAATTGCAATTCTCACAGAATAGAGACCATACCTGCGTAATCTGTCCGCGCGTAATGCCCATCTTCAGATTTTGTGGTTGTTGTTGTATTATCTGTGTTAAAAGAAATGCATGGAATTACCTTGGGAGCCCTGTACTTGCTAGGGAATATAGCCTAGTCACTGCTGCCTAGGCAAACACAGTCTTGCCTCCACACGCAGCATCATCCCTGGGGCCTGACAGGTGAGAACAGCAGGATCAAGCTTTTTGGAAGGAAACATGAAACCTTGTCCATTAAGGAAACACTTTTATTTTTTTTTTCCCCCAAAACAACATGTGCTAAAGGATTGTCGCTAGGATAAATGCACTGGCATAAAGAAGCTGTTGTTTTGTTGATTTCTGCTCTATTTGAAGTAATTGCGGAATTTTAATATGTGAAACGAGGATGGTTAGGTAAGGAAGTTAACTTAAAAAAAAACACGAATAAAGTAATATGTATAGGTATAGTATGGCCTATAAGTAGATGTACTGAGCATTTATAGGTCAGAAGCTAAGGAGAAAAAAAGGCTACTACGAGTCTGAGCCTCAATAGCCTCAGATTTTCTTCATTTTTATTTCAGAACATGGGATTTCAGAACAAAATGCAAGCTGTGGGAAGAGTGTGTTACCAGCACTGCTTTTGCCTGGCTGGATATCTGCATTCTGCAATGTAAATCACAAGATCTAACGGAAACGTAAGAAGTGCCAAAGCAGCAGCCAGCTCTGTTCCCCTTTTTTTCTTTTTTTCTGAACAAAAAATTGAAAACATTCTTTGAAATGAGTTTTGTTATGAGCATTACCTTGACATCGACCCAAAGACATGACTTCAATTTTCTCCTGTTTCTGGCACGATGCCTCTTTGATTTGACACGCATTATCATAAGATTTCCCATCGGAAGCACAGAGAGGATTGAAGTTGGTTTGAGAACAGTCAATGTTGCACACACACCTGGAAAGGCAAGGAGAAAAGAGGCTAATATGAGGAAGTTTTTTTCATGGTATCATAAATAAATCTCAAAAATAAAAGTGTTTTTGCTTCCTTTCTGTACAATGCAAATCAGAAGGGAACTGGAAAGCTCTGTCAAAAGGTCATTTGTATTTCTGGATGCAAATGAAACACTGGGAGAGGCGGCAGACAGAAAAGTAAGCCAAGGGAAAGACAGAGAATTATCCATGGAAAACTCAAGCAGAGCATTTTCAAATGTAGCTCTTTTTATAAAACGAAGAGCATGCAAGCAAATCTGCAGATAATTCAAGCTGTTTTGCTATGCTGAAATCAAAGGAGCCACAAAATTTGCCTCTGTTGAGGTGCCGTCCATCCAATGCAACAACGGTTTTAGACTTGGGTGAATCCCATGTCCCCGGCCAGCCACCCAAAACAGAAAGCTTCAGCTACAAGTGAGGCCAAAGGTGGGAAGTTGTGGTTATAAATTCAATGAAATGGTTTTATAACTAGTAGGAAAAAAAAAAAAAAAAGAGACCGTGTCCCTGTGTAACAGTTTCCACTGCAATGTAAGATAAAAATCTGGCCTTTTTTAAGCAATCAGATTTTTTTTTGTCATTTGCATTTCAGATGGGGCACAATCAGCCATATGCTCTTCGTCTTTTTTTTTCCTCTTATAATAAAACAGTTCATAAGCAGCTTCATTTCTCAATCTTTTTGCTACCAAAAAAAAAAAAAAAGAGTGTAGGTTAATGTATATTAGTCTCAAATCAAGAAAATACCAGGTCAATGAAAAAAATAAACCAAAAGGGTACTCTAATATGCATGGAAGCAATTTAAAAAATGCCTGGAGAAGCCAGGAGCCAATGTTCAGAGTAATGTCAGCTAGAACCTATTCTGAGAGACATATTTTTAAAGATGTTTAGATGCTTAGAGATGCAAGCAACCACTTTGGGGGAGATTTCTGATCTTCTCCTAGGCTTATCGCCTGCTGATTTCAAAGACTGTTTCTGAGCCTATTAGGCATTTATTTGCACCTTTTGATATCTTTATTTTAAAAAAATCGTCCCTAAAAGACTCTTCCAGCCTCCCACAGCAAATGAGAAAAGCACAAAGCTTTCCCGAACCCCATGCTAAAACCTGTACAAGCTGGATGTTCTTGCATCAAAGCAGGCGAATCAAGCTGTGAAGCCCTTGCTTGGGCTGCAGTGTGGACACTATGTGAGGTGGAACGCGGGGAGCCCAAGTGAGAGCCTCTTCAAGACCTAAGACCCCAGGCCTTCAAGACTCTGAAGCGGGTCTTGGCCCTGACATCTGCACCCAGAAGCAGGACATCTGTCCTGCTCCTATCTACAGCCCACTGCAAACGTAAAGATTCAAAAAAATAATAAAAAAAATCAATTTATGTTCTTTTCACCAAAAAGAGTGTCAGGCGGGGCTGGGGTCACCCAGCTGTCCCTCGTGTGGCGCAGCGGCCGGCCGCCTCATCGCATGCTCCGCCAAGCAGAGCGCTCGCCCGCTCCCTGAGGCACTTGAGCACATCTCTAATTTTAAGCAATTTGATCGTTTGGCCGTTTTATCACCCTGGCTATGACTTCCAATTATCACTATATCAATAAATCCATCCGCTTCTGCGTTCCTAAGTAGAGCATTGAGGAAAGCTTGGCAACGTAAAGGCTGACTCTGCTTTCCTGGGGCTCAAGAACCTCTCAGAGGGTCAATGAGGGCTCCTGGGGGGTCTCGGGATGGGTCTGTACCCAAGGGCATGCACTAAATACACAGAGAAGGTTTATATATGCCTATTGCAGTACGAAAAGTTGCTCTGAAAGCATCTGGGAGAGACGAGTGCTTCAAAGATGCCAACTGAAATCCCCTGAGAAGGCAAAACTACTGCATGCCGTCCCAGGGGCCCATCGCCTCTTGCAAGTAATGGGCTCAGATGTTAATTGATTAAAATTTGGGCTGTCACTGTAAACAATCATTAAGCGAGGCTTGCTTTCTTCTGCCTCTTCTTCCAGGTCATTAGGATGGTCTCAGATGAATTCTACTCCTACCACAGGCTTCATCTTCCTCTGTTTCCTGCCACTGAACACCCAGCCGTTCACATAGCTAATTTGGCGAACACAAAAAGTAAAAAAAAAACACAGAGTAAAATAAACACTATCGAACCAGCAACCCAGGCACCTCCTTGACCTGCTCGATGCATTTTGCATGGCTGTAGATTGTAGGCACGTGCTGTGACACAGCCTGGTTGCATTGCCCGACCACCCTATGGGGACAAGGATCATAAGGAGGTGTCTCAGTAAAAAGACAGACTGGGTCTGTGCCTCTAAAGTGCAGAAGAACGCTATCGATCTCCTTAATTCATGCATATAGTCATTACAGGATCATTTTTGACACAGAGATGATAAGAAGAACTGGTTTTACTAGGACAGACGCAGGGATGCTTGGTCAGAAGGAGAGGGCAATGGCAGCTCTTCCCTATGCCACGTATTTTAATGAACCCGCTGCAGTTTGGAAACCTCTGTTTATTAAAGATTCATAGCCCAGCTCTGCGGGCCATGGGTCATTCGCTTTTGGAAGCAGAGCAACAGGAAATGGTGTCTTGGATCTCTGCAGAAAAAGTACTTAATGAAATGACTAATGTCTTCAGCCAAGTGCCTACTTGATTACAGGGTCCAACCGGCAGCACGGCAATAAATCTGCCACAAAGAGAATTGTCAGTCAGGAATAAAGGCATAAAACCAAACAGACAGGGAGGCAGGAGATAAAAAATGTGAAAATGCAAATATAGTGTTATTTTTACTAGTCAGAGCTCTGATATTTGAGTGCATATGCTAATTTGGTCAGCTGTGAGATGCCACCATGTCTCAGTGAACGCTATTTTGCAGTGAAAGTGATGCTTTGCAATCACGTTAAATATGTCGTATATTTTCTCCAGGAAAAATTAAAAAAGGCAATGCAAAAACATTTCGCTGTATAAAAAGAAAAAAACCCAAAGCCTTTCCTTTTCCATAAAGCAGAGCAGAAATAAAACCACAGTTGTTGTACATTCAGGATATGTCTACGGGAGAGATTTCTGACTTTCCTCTGATTAGAAAACAGTAACACAGAAGTCAATTTTCTGTTTGGGTGTCAATGCTGTCCTCTCCAAGTGTCCTCCCCTCCAGATGGGATGTTAAACATCCATTTGAAGCCACTCTGTAGAGATATGTCCTGCATAGAGAGACCAGTACTCAGTCCCAAATGCCTCCTCTATCACTTCGCAGAGATGTTGAACAACATCTGCATATACATCCGTATTTATATACATAAAACTGTATCCTAAAAACATATTTTTACTACACACACACCATTTTGCTTCCACTTTCTATGTCGCATACCTCAAGACTTGTCTCTGCTTCCCAGGAGACTGCAATCCTGTCACCTCAAGATGTTCTCAAGAACATCATGAAAAGGCTTAAAAGAGAGAGATGTGTGTGTGCTTTCTTCAAAACAAACTTTGCTTCGTTTTTTGAGGCCGACGCATGACTTTAGCTGCAGTGCTGAACAATAAACTATACATATTTTATAACAGCAGCACAAAAATAGCTGGTGCTATTTCTTTCCTGGATCTGCATGTGCTTCGCTTTTGCTCTCAGATCACAAGAGAAGACAAAAGATGGCTTATTCTGAGTGCCTCAGTTTGGGGGTTATTTATTTATTTACTTCTCCTTTTTTTTGTCCTTTGGCGTTCAGCTTCAGCGCTAAGGGCTCTTGCAATGTCTGCTTCCATACAGAGGCTTCTTGGGGATGTTTTACCTATTTCCACTGTTCAAATGTTTATCTTCGCCAGGAGCGAGAGGAGAAATGCTGGATTCCCTTCGGGCGAGGCAATGCTTCTGCGTGGCATTTCAATAGCAGACGGTTCCTCAAACAATTAGAAATCACAGAGACCATGCGAGGAACCAGCCGCATTCTGCATAGAGATTTTTATTACTATGCAGTGCAGAATGACAATGATTTGAAGGACCCCAAAGCATCACAGCAGAAGTAAGCGCTGAATAATCAGGTGTTTTTTCTTTTTTTCTGTGGCCTTGATGTTCCAACGTGGGTGCACGAAGGAGCCTCTGACCTTCTCTGATGGATGTAGTTTTAATTTAATGGTTAACATAAAGTCGGGTGGAGGAGATGAGACATTCTATTAAGACATTTGATAATAAAGTGGAAGTGCTTTCCCCGGGCTTTGCGTAGTTATCTCTTCGCCGATCTATTTAGCCAACGCATCTAATTCCAAATTACGAAGCCGTATTCCTGTTTTCGTAAACACGCTTACATAAAACTCAATAACAACGTCGTCTATTCATTGCTAAAACGCTGGTGGGAAATTGGAAAAGGTATAAACACGATTCATTGCCGGAGATCTCCTGCCCCCCGAAGGCACCGTACAGCTCCAAATCTTGCTTGGTTCACAGCATCATAAAAAGCCAAGCAGTAAATGTCACCCCTTTCTTGATTGCCCATTAGACTCGTTGGCGTTTTATTGGGACTAAATCGGCCGTCGTGAAGGCACGTGCAGGGTTGGGGTGCGAGGGGAGATTCCTTTCAAATAACAGGGGAAAAAATGGAAAAACGGGGGGAAAAAAGTGCAAATTGCATTGCCGCCCACTTGCTCCTTCATGCTGTAATGTCTCATGTACAGAGGCTTCTGTTTGTAAAATCCGTGCCGTGCTTTTATTCATTCATTTATTTATGGCAAATGTAAGGCTAGCAATTGTAAGGACAAACGACAGCCTGTACCTCTCTCATAAACTTTTCCCCTTTAAATTTCACAATTTTAGATGTTTGTGTTTTGCTGCTACAGGAAGATAGAGCCATGATGAGACAAGAAAACCGAAAAAAAAAAATTCTCATCAACTATTTTTGGCTTTTCACAAATCAATATTTCCTCTGCAGCGACGCAAGCAGTCGGGAAGCCAAATCGTGCTTTTATCACCAGCATTTCCGAGTTATCCCTTTGCTCTCTGTGAATGGCTCTGCATTTACTCGCTGCTAGAGCCTGCCCTGCCTCCTGCCGCCTCATGGCTCCGCTGGCTGATGCGGAGTTGCTCCACACTTAGCTATTGGGAAGGAATTTTTGTCTCACCGGAGCCGGCGGAATACCTGTCATTAACTTCCACAGGCTGGAAGCTTATTTTCTGAACCTGAAACCCAAGATTCCAGCTTCTGGATAAGCTAGAAACTAGCATCTGGCTTCCGGATTTATCTATCATATAAGGTATTTGCAACACCTACCTGGGTGAATAATACAGAGGGAACGTGGTTTTGCATTTATTTAAGAACATTTAAAGACATGATCTATAGTCTACATGCCAGACTTCCTAGATACATAGAGAAAACACACTCAGTTTCTTTGGGGTGGGCTGAATTATTTATCAGAGTGTTATCAGAGTAGAGTAATGGCAATAAAGTAATTCTAGGAGGTCTTGGCTTATGTTAAAAAAGTATATATATATGTGTGTGCGTGTGTGTATATATGTATATATTTACTGGTCATCTCATGGCAGCTATTGGTGGGTGCCATAGCCCCTTGACTTTGCTCCGTACATCCTTTCCTGCACTATTATTAAATAGGAATATATTCCTTTGCCTCAATAAGGCACAGGTCATTGCAGATATTAAATATAAGAGCGGGTTGCTTCTGTATCTGGAGCAAGCAGGTCACACTTGTTTGCAGAACAAGGGGCAGCCACTACCTGTGTAATATATGGGAGCTTTCAAGCTACCTTTTAGTATCTTATGGGAGTCTATCATCTTGTTTGCAGATGCTCTGGCTGAGAGCAGCCGATGGGAGTGGGAAGGGACCCAAAACTGATCGCCCTAATTGCCATGCGGATTGAGGAGCTGGCAAAAGCACTCGTTCCTTTTATATGTTTTCTTTCCTATGCTCTAATCAAGATAAATATTGATTGCTTGCACAATATTGATTTTAGGGGGGGGTAGTGGCTGATGGCAGCTGCATGATTTGTGCAAATATCTTCCCGGGGTAATAGAGCTCGTTTGCATGAGAATGCAGTTTTCCTGCTCTCGTGCGCTGCGTGTTGCTCATTAGAGTATTTATACTAAAAAATATAGGGGTTGGTACCCTAAAGTAGCACATACCAAGACATTAGCAATAAACTATGAAACAAAGATCTGAAGGCTCTGACATGGTCATGCATGATCACGATTTGCTGAGCACCATTTATGCAGGCAGTATTTCATAGATGCCTTTTTGCAAGGTCTTTGAGAGATGCAACTGCTCAACACACCCCTTTTAAGCACATCTCTTGGGGTGTTATGTCGAGTAGACCCGTCCCACAAAATCAATTATTCTTCAGCGAACTTGGAAATAAAACTCAGTGCAGGCAACACCGAACGTCTGCTTTACCCATAGATTGCAACCCAGTGCTAAAGAGCAGGGCCGCTGCCCTGCTAAATCAAATATTCATGAGCCCGCTGGTGCAAAGTGCATTAAAGGTGGGAATAACGCCAGCAACGCGTGAGCCTCTTAGCGATGAGGAGCTTTCGCATATGAAAGGAGCAAGATGTTAAAGATGCTCAACCGGATAGTCCTTGTTTTTAACCTAGAGATAGGGCTTCACTAATGGAACGCCAAATTGCATCCACTCTCGTGACATGAGACAGTGGAATGGGATAATAATATATGTGTGCCTGCCCATGCCCTGAAAACCTGCTATTACAGCGGAGCTCAGCGTGGCTATGGCACCCATTTGGATGCCACCGGGCTCATTGCTTTGGGGAGACAGCCAAAGCAGCCCTGTTTCCACCCCAAATTAGCTAAGCATCTCCATCTTGGCTGAACAAGAAGTTTTGACTCCCACCAGAATCAGGGGTTATTAAAAGCTTGGCAGGACAAAAACAAAAGGAGCCCCAGTTTGATGATCACATCCGCAGCCTTCCTCCCTGCACGGGAGAAATGTTCATAGTTTCATGCCTGGCCGGCCGTGCATGGCCGTCCTGCCCGGAGGAGGTCGGGGCCTGACACGGGGCACTATTTGACAGCTCGGTCTCACTCTTCAACTAAAGCAACCTTGATAAAGGCAAGAGGGATTTCCAACATTTTTAATGCCAAGTTTAACATAAAAAGATGATGATGATAATAATGTGTGTTTTAGTCAGAGAAGCCTTTCTAGGTCAATTATTTCTCCCACTTCTACTTTTACCAAAGAATAGAGCCGTAAAACCTTCAGATGGAACAGTGTAAGTTATAACAGCAACAAAATGGATAACTCTGTTCTTCTAGACTTTGCTAAATTGTGCATGTCTCAAGATTATAAAACAGATTTTTATTCATTTTTACAGATTAATAACCACCTCAATCACCGCGTGATGAATCTCCAGGCATGGCAAATCTGATATCCCCTATTTTTAATGCTTTCTGAACCACAGCATCTCCAAATAATAGGACATTCATAGAAAATAAAAGAGTAGACCAAGGTACTGTACCAAACATCCTCTGCATCTTCATCACACTCTGCCCCAAACTGGCAAATGTCACAGGTCGATGTCTCTTTTTGATTGGTTTCACCTGAGCCTTCATTGACTGTTTGATGGAAAGCAGAAAAATACACATTAGTAAACACTGGACGGTAGCAAAAACACTTCTCTCTCCAGAAAAATCTATATTTCCCACGTTCGCTTAATGCATCGCTCCCCAAGCCAACGCTCGGCCAAGGGACGGTATTTCTGATTGGGACCAACAGAGCTATCAGAGCTATTCCCTTCCTGGTCTGTGATAAATGTCTCGAATTGTGGTGTTAAAAGGGAAACCGGGAAAGTCTCTCTCTATTCTTTAGCCATTTCAGCAACAGCTCCAGGAAGCTGCAATTTTGGCAGGTCGGGTCAGCACTGAGCTGCGCTGCTTTGTTTCCCAGGAACATAACTGAGGTGTATTGATGGTATCTCACGCTGCTTCGGGGCCTCTACGGGTGAAGCCCTTGAGAGGGACCCAAGGGGATGTTTTCCTGGGAAATGCTTTGAAATTGCCTGTCGTGTGGTGCAATCTGGCCTGCTCTGAAGGCAAAACATGTTTCTCTCTTACAAGTACTGCAATGAGCCCCCAGAACTAGTTATCCCTGGCAAGGAAGGTTTAGAGCCATGCAGAGCTGGGGATGATCTCCCATAGGCAGGGAAAGCCCACACCACGGCCACCGCGTTGCTCCCGCTCTACCTCTAGAAACCACCCCAAATTAGGCAGCCCTGGCGCTGCCATCCCGTGTGGTCCACACATGCCCTTGGAGAACTGGGAATGTTTCACCTCAAGCCTTTATCTAAGGTCAATTTTGAAATCCCGGAAACTCAACACAAGTCTCTGCAATTTTGTAAGGTTTGCACCTGACCCTTAAATGTTGTCAACAGCATGAGAAGAAAACAAGAATATGGATTTAAGAGGACTGAGACATTGCTTGTGACAACTGAATGAGAGGAAGAGACCACTAAGGTAGGAACACGGAAAAGGGGATTTGCTCAAAGATCCCAAGGAAAAATCTGCATTTATGCAGCCGCCTACAAGCACCTCATGACGTGTTTGCATGGGTGCTTTCTAGCAAGACATTCTTGCTAGCAGTATCCTGCTGATGTCTACAGGAAAATTAAACCACCCAGACCAACCACCTCTGACCCTGGGCAAGTTATTTAACCTCCGTCATATTCCACACCTGGTAAAATGGGAAGCACTTCCTACCACCGCAGAATATGAGAACAAGCACGTTAAGACCGGGCTAGGCTTAAAGACTGCATTAATATGGACTGCGGAGATACCTAAGGTAGACAGCTTGTCTCAGAAGTTATTTTTTTGCTCAACCTAATAAAATCCAATGACCTGCTGGTGTGCTTCGCTATGAGCTGTGCTGCAGCAGCTCCTCATCAGGGCATGGCTTGAATTTTGATGAAACTAAAAGGGAAATGTTCACCTATGATAAGCTTTCTGATGATACTACAGAGAAAAAAAAAGGACAGTTGCTGTTTCTCTCTCTTTGTAGAGTGCTAGTTTGTTCAGCTTTATATCCACAAACTTCACGAACAAAAAAAAAAAAAACAAAAAAACCCAAAGAAACAAAAAAAAAAGAGGTGGGGAAATGGAAAACCTGCCCTGGGCTTTTGCTCTGCAGCATCATCAGCACCAACGGTGCAGGGAAGGTCCGAGGTCTTATCTTCTTGCTAAAGACCATGGAGATACACCCTGACATGGCTTTGATGCCAGGCAGATTCAATTTACAGCATTTTGCAGCTCTCGTGCTTTTAGTGATTTTTTTTTTCTTAAAAACACAGTCGCTGGATTATCCCAATATAAAAGAACATCAGTTTCGATGTGTATTTATTTTGAAAGGCATGTCTAAGCTTGATGGCTGTGGAAAATAAAGTTTGGGAGGAAGATAAATACCAGAAACTATCAAGTTTATCTTTTAAAAAATCTAATTATTTCTACAGGCCCGAGTGGAGATTTTTCAGGCCTGGGTAATGTCAAGGGTAGGTCAAACTGGGAAAAAAAAACAGCTCTGAAGCAGAGCTCAGTTAGGTCGAATGTGCTGAGGGTTCCCAGGATACAGTGCAGTTAGTATGAGAAAAAAGAGCCTAGGAGGTGCCTCGGGTTTGCTTTGAGCAAAGGGATGCTTAAACAGTGCGAGAACTAGGGATGTGCAAATTTCCCTTCACCTCCTCTTTACTAATAACAGTGCCTTAACCATATATGTGTGTGTCTATATATAGGTGTGCGGATATATGTGCACATATCGCCTTGAGCGGCTCGTTCATCCTGGCTGAACGTGGATGGTTTTAGCGGAGCGGAATTGCAGCCATCCACCTGCAAATCTGTTTTTATAGGTGGGAAGCAGGGACGTCTCGGGGCAGCGGGGTCTGAGGCCAGGCCAGGAGCCTCCGCAGGGACTCGTCTGTGTTCGCACCACTGGGGCCGAGAGGGAACACATTCTTACCCAAACTTTATTTATTCC